AAGGGGAAGGAAGAAAATAAATTGTGCTTTTTGTGCTTAAGTCCAAGATATGGGCCCAATTTACATCATAGTATGAGTCTTATGGCCTTTTTAAGTTAATTAGATTTGTTATGGCCCCCTTAGGGTATTTTATTTCATTCTGGGCCCATTATGGCCCAAAATATTAAAATAAATGAAAGTGGTGTTCCAATTAGAGTCCATATAGGAGTTCTAAGCCCAAAATAGTCAAATTGGAAGCTTATTGGTCCATTAGGCCCAAATAAGAAAACCCTAATCCAAAATGGACTTAAACCGGGGTTTCTAGGGTTTCCAATTCTTTGTTGACTATTTGCAGTCTTGTATAAAGTGTTTGATGGAAGTTTGTTGTTATTGAATAAGCATCATACATGCTTTCACATTTTTGGTTCACAAATGTTATCATTGTTGTTGTTACAAAGCATCAAAATTCCTAGTTGTGACAGTGGGTCAGAAATCTCAACGCAAACCCCTTTGCTTCTTGTCGGGTTCGTGTTAGGTTATGGATTGAGTTGAGAATTGCCACCCCGGGCTAGGTTAATGTGTTAATAACATTTGTTGTGTGCTCGTAAGCACAAATCTAGACCAACAGATGGAATAGAATCAATGGTCATGATCTAAGAGTCTATGATATCATAATAAGGTAACATGTACCATATAATCATACAAATTTCAGCATAAGGGCATTTTGGCCAATTAATCTATATTAAAAAAGATTTTTTTTGGATTTTAAGGGATAATTAATTCCCTTATTTTTAAAAATCTGAATATTTTAAATTAATTCAAATTTAAAAATCCGATTTTATTCTCTCAGAATGACAGAATGCCAACCATAAACTAGTAAATATAATTTTGATTTTATTTTTGCAGAGTACATTTCCAGTGTAGATATTTTTGATAATTAACCTGATTTAAGAATTCTACGTATTCTTCATATACATCCAAGTCAGAATGAGGGTCTATGATTTAATCTTAATATACACCCTAACTTAAATAGAAATTCATACATATTTTTACAGACTAATAGCCTTATACATTTTGTATAGTTTACTACATATTCTAACAAAATATCATCAAAAATGAATAAATTCTTAAAAAATAGCATTCTGGATATATCAATTATACACTTGATCTTCTACAATGGTCCAAATAATCCACTTGATTCCAACTATTCTTATGAAAATGTGATGTATTATCGTAAGAATGTAATTCTTCGCAAATATACTTGCTGTTGAACTCGATTCCAAATCTTTCTCTTGTATGATCAATACTGAATTCCTTCTTCAAGCCATTCTGAAAGAATAACATGCATTACTCGTTAGTATTACCAGTTAAGCTAATATACTTGCTGTTAACAAACCATTCTCAAAGACATTCTAACAGAATGCATTCATACAAATAAATTATGACAGAATACATTACAAGATGCACTTAAATCATAGTCTTTTCTTCTATATGTATAAACATTCTACATCACTGAATGTATAAATGCATTCTGTCAGAATTACAAGCAACACATGTTTTATGTAATATTTATATTCTCATAGAATGAACAAATGTTTGCATTCTGATATGAAAAAAAAATCCCGGCTTAACCATTTTCATGCAACCGACCCCTTAAATTGTAGGTGTGAAATCCATAACTACAGAAAATCAAAATTTTTGCGAATGCAAAAATCACAACCTAATTATGAGATACCAAAGAAAAATAATATAACCCCATCATAATGCAAAAACCTGTTCATTCTATGAGAATATAAATATTACATAAAAGATGTGTTGCTAGTAATTCTGACAGAATGCTATTGGAATCCAGTTGCTTTAAATATTCAACAATATTGACCAATTAAAACCCTTTCTTTGACTTTATTTCAATGCATACGATTCATTCTGGATCACAAAAACCAACATATCATCAATTTGACTAAGAACCAAATTGAAACCATGTGCTTTGACTTTTCATTTGAATGTGAATTAGATGAACTAAAATAGACGATGCAAAGACAAATTTAGTACAACCAGATATGGAGAACAAATGAAGAAATTAGGGCTGATAAAGGTCGAATGATCAATAACGTATCAAATAATTTGGCTGGATAAAAAAAGAAATATGCTATATCATAGGAGATTACACTTTGGGCTTGAATTTCATAAGAAATCAAGACTTAATGAAGACCGTAGACTATTTCTTCAAAAATGATTCCAAAAATTTTGAAAAACTCACCAATCATAAGATCTTGAATACATCGTGTCTCGCATCGAACAAGTGGCAGAGGTTGCCGGATTAGGATGTCGTCGAAGTAGGATGTCGACGGAGTGACAGAGGTTAGAGGAAACATTCCCGATGGGGGATAATGTCGTCTTCTTGAATATGAACGATCGATATTGTTGCCATTGAAGAAAATAATGATATGAAGAGTAAAATTGATAGAGCCCTATAAAAAAGGAAGGATATATAAAGAAGGAAGGAGATATATGGTCTGGTTCGGTGATTTGAAGAATATGATTTACAGGAGAAGAAGACGAGGGTGTAACGATGAAGCCATATAAGAAAACATCATATAAGGGGTAGAAGACGTTCTATTCCTGCTAGAAAAGGATAGAAGACGTATATGAGAGAGAGATTAGGTCAAATATTTATTTTATTTCCTTAATTATATGATTTCAATTAAATGCTTCCATTAATTGAGAATACAAAATCTCCAAAATACCCTTATTGAATTAAAAAAAATATTTAATATTTTATTATTTTTGATTGGTGCATTGGTGAACACAATAATTGTCAAAAACATTTGAACCTATCTCTTGCCACCCTATGTAAAACCAAGGAAATGTGTCTTTTTTTTTGGATTTGTAAAGGACGTTAAAAGTGCAAGATGCACCGGGACAATTGGATGTGTAATCCCCGATTATATATATATATATATATATATATATATATATATATATATATATATATATATATATATTATATATTTTTTTTTTTTTTTTTTTTTTTTTTTTTTTTTTTTTGCTCCGGCTTATAGCTAAATCTTTGTTTCTAAAAAAAACCCGACATTTCAAAAAGAACGGTAAAATCTTTAAACAATAAAAGCAATCCCATAAAAATTAAAATGGAAAGCTTTTAAATATTATTATCAAACTTACTTGAATTTCCACATGTAAAAAATATGATTCGATACGAATTTTCTCGTTTGGAAAAATGAGTAGGGAGACAACTCGTACTATTGCCAAAAAAAGGAAAAAAAAATCATAATATATCCAAACTAGCGTAACACAGTTTGTTTTAGGGGGTGAGCAAAAATACCGATGGTACCAAACCGAACTGGTATAGGTATCGGTACCCAATCGGTGCTGAACCATATACTTGGGTTCAATATTCGATTCTTACTTTTGTGTCATTTTGGTTTAAGTACTTTCGGTTTGATACTTGGAGATAGTGTGAATGATTCGAGTCTTAACAACCATTGCACATCAGTTTTAATTCCATGGATTCATCTTCTTATGGCCAGGGTACTAAATTTGAACATTCCTGAAAATATGAAGCCTAAACTGCAAATATTCATATTTTAGTGGTCAATTATTTGTGTTGTTGCCCGCGTTTTCTTGTTGATTAAGGCGAGTTAGGTAATGCCTCTCTCTCTCTCTCTCTCTCTCTCTCTCTCTCTCTCTCTCTCTCTCTCTCTCTCTCTCTCTCTCTCACACACACACACACACAGTGTGTATATATATGTGTGTTTTCTTGCAAGCGTTTCTCTTTTCAGCAGAAAGCTTTCCGCATGATGAATCTTTTTTGTGACTAGTGAATCGTTCAATGTGATGATAAAAGCAACTTTTGTATGAAACTTTGTGCTTCATTTATCTGGTAAGTTCAACATCCTCTTCTATATATTTTGAATGATCTTGTAATTTAGTTGTTCTGTTTAGCTGTTTTTAATCCTGTAAGTTCCTCCACACAAGGGTTTTTATTATCAATAAATTTTCCAGTTTTCTGATGAAAATTTGAATGAATTTTCGAGGGGTTTCACACAAATATGATTAATGGATTTGGTTTGTTGATCGAACAGCTTACAAATTTCCAGTTTTCTGAGAATTGAAAGATGGCTGATGGTTTTCTTTTATGAGATGATAGCTAACTTTATCAAGTCTACTTGCTTTTGGAAAGTGATTCAACTATATAAAGTTGTCTCGTTGTTTTTTGGGCTTCATGCAAGAAATGATAATGTACTTTGATTTACCAATGTATTATAGCATAAAACTAAACTTTCTAATTGTTTATTAAAGCTTTTTTTTATAAAAAATACCCCATTTTAGCATTATACTTTTAGTTATTTTTATATTACACTTTAAAAAATCCACCAAATTATACCAGTGAAACTATTTTGTACTTGGATAGGATTACAACTATTGGATTGACTTTTCAAAATAAATTATTGTAATAAGATGAAATAAAAGTAAGATGCTATAATAACAAACCAATGATAATACCTTACTATTTCTTGGATATAACCTTGTTTCAAACCATCAAAGGCTGAGACTCGAAGTGTAAAAAGTTGCTGGCTACTAAATATTTATTCTCTAACCAATATCAAGCTGTTTGATTTCACTTAATTTCACAAATTCAATTGAAAGTAACTTTTCCTTGGTGATTTGACATTTTTTTTTTGTAAAAGTAAAATATGTCAAAATGTAGAATATATGAGATTAGCATGGACAAGCTTTCTAGACATATTTTAATGATGATGGGCTTTTTCCACACTGATTAGATAAAAAACGAGTTTCTATTCGACCTTTTTAGATGGGATAAAAATTACAATTTTTATCTCATTCATATTAGTCTCACTTAAGGATAATAAAAACTCGTTAAAATACAAATTAGTTATAATAAAATTAATACTTTTCGATACTTACATAAATAAAATTTTAATAATTTTTTTTTGAATGGCATACCATCTAAAAGTTTAAGCCAATGAGATTTGAACCTGAAAATTTACATAAATAAAATAAATTTCCAAACATTTTTGTGATGGATTGGAAAAAATACCCCTACCTAGCCAATGAATGAAAATTAAGAAAATGGACAAAATGATGCTTTCAAGTTTCAAGAATGGTCTATCCATCGGGCAAAAACCTCCTTTTTGTTCCAATCGAAGGAACCATTTCGTTCATTCTTCGACTGTATCAATACCAAACGCTATATATATGATACAATTTTTTGTGGTCTTTTGCTATTTGGTAATGATTTTTTTTTTATCTTCATATAATATATCAAAAGGTGAACAGAAACTAGTCTGTAATAAGGTCCGGGAGAAACAATGACCAATAATCGAAGAAGGTCTAACGAGCAACCGCCTACTCGGCTACTACATACTCAATCAATCAGTGGTAGTTCGGGTATTGAACCTATGATGGATAGCGAGGTGGTGCCTTCATCTCTTGTTCAAATTGCACCTATTCTTCGTGTTGCAAATGAAGTTGAACCTACAAACTCAAGAGTTGCCTACTTATGTAAGTCTCAAACCTGTTTATAGCGGTTATTTTTAATTTCCAACACTAAATAATTAGAATGGTAAATTCATTTGTGAATATAACGAACTAATACATAAAAATGAACATTGTACCCGCTTTCACAACATATCATCCATATGTGAATTTGAATAAATTTATTTGTGAATCCCAGTAAACTTCATTTGTGTATGATCAAAATGTTAAAATAATAATAATATCAAATGAATTTACTTATATTTACATGTAAAGTTAGTCGGATTCACATGTAAATATGAATATTTATTGGAATTCACATCTAAATTTGATATGTCTACATTAACGATCACACACACACACACATATATATATATATATATATATATATAATATATATATATATATATATATATATATATATATATACCATTCATATTGATCATTCATATGTGAATGATCAATCATGTAGACTAAATTGATTGACGGTGTATGATATTTGTACATGATACGGTTCAAATTTACAATTAGAATATTGGGTTTTTAATTTAGACATATCAAATTTAATACATCTTACTTTCAAATATACACAATTAAAATATTAGGTTATAGATGTCAGTTAATAGTTACTAAGATTTTATGAATTTTGATATATTAATTTTTTTTGATAAAAAATACCTAGAAAAAGAAAAGAAAAAAAGAAATGATTTTTTTTCAACATGTATGTGTCCATTGTAAATAAGATAAATATATAGATGGCATTGATGCCTTGATTCCTTGTTTATTTTTGTTCTCTGTTAAACTTTTATCATCTTATTAATACATCTTACTTTCAAATATACACAATTAAAATATTGGGTTTTTAAATGCTCTCTAGTTGGAGATATTTTTATATTTAGTTAGGTTTTTCAATTTAATATAACCTAATAGAAGAAATAAAAAATTAAGTAGTATATAATAACCAATCAACAAAAAATACACTTTATAATTTTTGTAATGAACCAAATAGTCCCTATGGGTCCGGATTAACATTCAGACTGCTTCTTCCTTGTCGGATGCTCCATGTACTAACCCGACAACCATGGCTACTGCCGGGTTCGGGCGTGGCTCTTCTTCTTTACCCACTCAAATGGGTCTACAAAATAGTCTCTCACCGGTTCGCTTTCTTGGTTGTGATTGATTTAATTTTGTTTTAACTGCAAGTTCGACCCTTATGGGTTTTGTTATTTTGTTGTTGAAACTGGTTTTGGAATTTGGTTATAAGGAGAAGATAAATTATCATTTTCATTAATCAACCAGCTGGGAGAGATGAAATTTAGGGACGAAAATGACAATAATATAATGGGATCACTTTACGTGCCCCTTTAGTTAAAAAAAAGGGGCAGGGTGAAGTATATGTTTGTGTAAAGGGGGTTACGAGGGACCTTGATATAATGTAGTGACCATATTATATAATATTTTCTGGTAGGAAAGAACAAAATTTTGTAATTTACTTTAATTTCAATTATAGTAGTGAATGCAGTTTTGATTTTATGAAATAGTGGATACCAAACAAAGGCACATGAGTGGTCTATAAGTGGTGGCATAGTAAATAGTAATGATACTAGAATTTCATAAGGCAGCATTTGTTACAAATGAGACAAGACATGATTGGATTGAAGAAACTTTCTAAGGCTCTTTTTGATGATATGTCAAAAGAGAAATTGAGAGCGAGTCCATGTCTGATGTCTCGTATTTTTGGACGAAGCAAAAATTGTCATTTTTGTTCTATCGACTGTGGTCTTGGTCTTAGTCCAAGTCCAATGAACTTAACTTCAATAATCAATGCATTGGATTGAGATTGAGACTGATGTCAATGAGACAAAAATTACCAATAAGGTGGGACAAAGGGCCCACTCTTGATCTCTTATCTGTACAAAAGACGTGAATGCCCTCCTCATTCATATCATTGGAAATTGCCTTAGAAAGCTTGTCCGGTTACATCAACTCCTGTCCCGTGTAACAAACACAACCTTAATGGCAGCTTGCTTTGCATGCATAAATGAAGTTATTGTGTATGCACTTAGGTCGGTTCTATGCCTTTGAGAAAGCCCACAATCTAGATCCAAAATCAAGTGGACGTGGTGTTCGCCAATTCAAAACTGCTCTACTTCAACGTCTACAGAGGGTATGTGTTCGTTTCTTTTCCATCTAACAACTTCCATACTTTGTGCATATATTCATTTCTGAATATTTAAACAGTTAAACTCTTACTTTTTAGCATGCTTATCATATACTAATGTTATAAAAAAAAAACGGATAAATTATATCTAATCTTTTCAGGAAGACAAAACCACATTAGCAGGACGAACACAGAGCGATGCACGTGAAATGCAGAGTTATTATCAACATTACTTCATGAAATACATTCAAGCCTTGAAGGCCGAAAAAGCTGATCGGTTATAATAATAATAATAATAATAATAATAATAATAATCTCTCTTTGTGTTCTATGTCTTTCTTTCAATTTGCGTTATTTATTTTCTGATTTAAGAAATTTACTTGTTTCATCAGTACTCGCCTTACAAAAGCTTATCAGACTGCTGCTGTTCTGTTTGAGGTTTTAAAGGCTGTTAACTTCACAGAGTCTGTCGAGGTGGCAGATGAGGTAAACACTGGATTTTTCTTTTCCCTTTATAGAATTTTACATGATGATTCTGAATAATTACTGCTTCTGTGTGTAGATTTTGGAAGCTCACACTAAGATTGCTGAGAAGACAGAGATGTATGTTCCTTATAATATACTTCCACTTGATCCGGATAGTTCAAATCAAGCTATAATGAGATATCCAGAGGTTAGTTCCAGATTTTTTAAAAAATTGTAATGTTTTAGTGGACACACAAATAACATAATTGTTTTTTTGAACATTGAGGGATAATAAGTTGGGTTTTTTTTTTGAGCTTTTCCCATTTAATTTATTCATGCTTTAATTGTTCAATTTGTAGATTCAAGCTTCTGTTACTGCACTGCGTAGTACCAGGGGACTTCCATGGCCGAAAGGCTACAAGAAGAAAGTAAATGAAGACATTCTTGATTGGCTACAGGCTATGTTTGGTTTTCAGGTGGTTTATTTGGAACATATAGTTTACACTAAATTACAAAAATGGTCCAAGAGTATTTCTATTTCTTGCAATTTTGGTCCCTTTTTCCACACGATGTTAAATTCCATCCGTTAAATGCTGGACATGCCTTGCACGAGAGGGCAAATTGGTCTTTTTTCCATTCTCTCTCTCTCTCTCTCTCTCTCTCTCTCTCTCTCTCTCTCTCTCTCTCTCTCTCTCTTATCGTTATGTTTTCATAGGTAGTCTCTTCCACCTGTTCATCTACTTCTTAGTGTTCTTCATTGACAATTACCCTAATCCTAAAAATACATTTTAGGAAACAATGGTGGGTGGGAAATTTTTTTAACAGAAATATAGGGATCACGTATGAAAATATAATACTAAAAAAATTCAAACAGGTGGAAGCTAATGTGTTAGGGGAGAAGAGAACGAAAGGAAAAAGACCAGTTTACCCTCTTGTGTAAAGCACGTGCAGCTTTTAATAGATGGAATTCAACTCCTTGAGCAAAAAGGGACCAAAATCGAAAGAGAAACGTAAAAGTAAGGACCAAAAATTGCAAGAGGAAACATTTTGGAACCAAAATTGCAAAAGACAACATTACTTAGGAACCATTTTGAAATTTAATATATAGTTTTTATATTATAAAGGATGCTATTATTCGTACACCACATAAATAAATATTAAAAAATTAAACAGAGGGTCGTACATTTAGTAATAGGGGTGTATGAGTAGAATCACCAATTATTAATCATGATGATTCTCGGTTTGACTTGTGTTGACTCACAGAAAGATAATGTCTCAAATCAGAGAGAGCATTTAATCTTGTTGCTTGCAAATGTTCACATTCGTCGGTTCCCAAACCCTGACCAACAACCTAAGGTATTATTATAATCTTTAGATGTAGCATAACATTATACACATTTTATTTTTTACATATTTTTTTGTTTATAACTTTGACTCATTGTCTTTTTTTTTTCTTCAAAAGCTGGATGATTGTGCGCTTACCGAAGTTATGAAGAAACTTTTTAAGAATTACAAAAAGTGGTGCAAATATTTGGGTCGCAAAAGTAGTCTTTGGTGAGTAAAGTTTACCTTGAGGTTTTGAATCTAAAAGCTACATTTAGTTGTTTTTAGATATTTAGTCGTCACTCATTTCATAAGATTCAATCTTTTTATAAGTAATATGTGACCATTATCCTCCATTTTCAGGTTGCCAAATGTTCAACAAGAAGTGCAACAAAGAAAATTATTGTACATGGGTCTATATCTTCTCATATGGGGTGAAGCTGCAAACTTGAGATTTATGCCGGAATGCCTTTGCTATATCTATCATCACGTATGCATAATGATTTTGTTTTTCAATTGTGTGTATTTCCTTTGATTGTTACAAGAGTACAAACACACAAACAATTAAATTGTTCAATGTTTTCTTTGTTTACAAAGATGGCATTTGAAGTATATGCTATTCTGGCTGGTAGTGTTAGTCCTTTGAATGGTGAGAATATTAAACCTGCATATGGTGGTGAAAAAGAGGCATTTTTGAGGAAAGTAGTGACTCCTATCTACAATACAATAGCACAGGTATGGTGTAAATCTGGAGAGTTTTTTATTTCAAAGTTAATAGTTTATATGCGTATGTTTTTTCATTATTGTCTTGTACAGGAAGCTAAAAAATGCAAAAGGGGAAAAACAAAACATTCTCAATGGAGAAACTATGATGATCTAAATGAATACTTCTGGTATCATGATCTCTATTCATGCTTTATTCAATGATAAATTCAACTGAATATAGGATTAATTGCAAGAAACAGCGACTACTTTGATTAATTTGTTGATTATAGCATCCTACTTTCTTTTCTTTCAATTACAACATTATACTTTGAAAAATCCACACAACTATACCAATGTCATTCAAATTTAAAGCAATTTAATGCTATAATTGGGTATTTTTTTTTTCAAATCATGAAGTACAATGCTCTAATCGGGTATTTTTTCAATATACAATGCCTTAATAAGAAAAAGTTTAAAATTACAATCATACAATGTGGTTATAGAAAGAAATGAAAGTAGGATACTATAATACATATATAAATTTCGTATGTTGCTGTTTCATGCATTTAACACTTATATATATATATATATATATATATATATATATATATATATATATATATATATTGATTGGGATAATGTTGTAGGTCAGTTGACTGTTTTCGTCTGGGATGGCCAATGCGTGACAAATCTGATTTCTTTTGTCGGCCTGATGATGATGTAAGCACTAAATTTACATTTTTAGCCACACATATTATGCTTACTACATCAATAATAATAAAAAAACCAAGATTCTATCAATTTTGTTTATTTACAATATATATTAATTATTTCAGGAGAAAAAACCCGATAAAAGTGATCATTGGATGGGAAAAATCAACTTTGTTGAGATAGATTCATTTTGGCATATCTTTAGGAGCTTCGATAGAATGTGGAGCTTTTTCATTTTGTCTTTACAGGTAATTAGTTAATAATTAATTATCTTGTGATTAATTACTCTACTTGTTTATTAACTATTACTTTTTTATAAAAGGCAATGATTATTATAGCATGGAATGGATCTGGTGAACTAAATTCTATCTTCGATGGGGTTGTGTTCAAGAAAGTATTAAGCATTTTCATAACAGCAGCAATATTGAAACTTGCACATGGTAAATACACACATACATATATACCTACAATCTACATACACTGCTTACATAGCGATATAATCTGATTATTGCCACCTCATTTTGCCAGCTGTCATTGATGTATTTATAATGTGGAATGCAAGATTCTACATGTCATTTCATGTGAAGCTTCGATATATTTTGAAAGCTCTAACTGCAGGAGCTTGGGTGGTGATTTTACCTATAACATATTCGTATAGTTGGAAAAATCCATCTGGATTTGAAGAAACTATTAAGAATTGGTTTGGAAATGGAGAAAGTTCACCTTCTATGTTCATCATAGCAGTTGTTATTTATCTATTTCCAAATATCCTTTCTGGACTTTTATTCCTTCTACCCTTTATACGAAGAAATCTAGAGAAATCAGACTATAACATTGTGAGGTTTGTGATGTGGTGGTCTCAGGTATGGAAAATCTTCCTACAACTTATGTCACGTTTATTTTATTTTTTACTATTATTCCTTGCTATTTTTATTTTTATTTTTGTGACTAAGGTCTTGTTTCTTTTTCCCCATTAACTGTTCTCCACAAAAAGATAATAATGTACTTTCATTATTTGTTTATTCTAACATCATACTTTCATTTCTTCCTATTACAACATTGTATTTTGAAAAGCCTACCTAATTATAGCAATGTCATCGAAAAAAAAAACAATTTACACTGCTATAATTCGGTAGATTTTTTATGTACAATTGTCCTAATAAGAAAAGTATTTTAAAGTACAATACTATAATTGAGCAGGTTATTTTAGATTACAATGCTTAATAAAATAAAAATGAAAGTACAATGTTGTCATAGATAGAACTTAAAGTAGGATGCTATAATACACAAATAAATAGAAGTCCGTTACTATTTCTTGCGTTTAGCCCAAAAAGATCTTAGAAAAGGATGGCACACTTGGGAATTGAAAGGAAAACAATAAATAAAGGAAAAGTTGTTAAAATATAGGACTTAATGGGGAAAACCTCATTTTCCTGACTTTCTCTATTAAGTCGTTCTTTCTGCATTATGTCAAAAACAAATACCCATAACATATCATCAAATTTTGCAGCTTTCGCTTTATGTTGGGAGGGGAATGCATGAAGATCCTCTATCCCTTATCAAGTATGCTTCCATATTCTAATCGCATGTATAGATTGCTAAAATTAGTTGTACCATGCTTTATGTTTTTTTTTTCTTTTCTTCTAGGTACACTATATTCTGGGTTCTTCTTATAGCTTCAAAGTTAGCTTTCAGTTACTACTTAGAGGTGCCTTTCTTTTCCCTCATGTTTTTTTATTATAACATTGTACTTTCATTTCTTCCTATTACAACATCTTACTTTGAAAAATCTATCTAGTTATAGCAAATGTCATCCAAATACAAAGCAATTTATTCGGCTATAATTTGCTAGATTTTTCAAAGTATAATATGTCTTAATAAGAAACACAAAATACAACACTATAATTAGGTAGATATCTTCAAATATAATGCCTTCATAAGCAAAAAGAACTGGAAGCACAATGTTGTAAATTGTAATAATAAGAAATTATAGTACAATGCTATAATAAACAAATAGATGCAAGTAAGTTGCTCTTTCTTGCATTTGTTCCTAATTAAGAATAAGTAATTATATACATATTTCAGATAAAGCCTCTAGTGGGTCCAACAAAAGCAATTATGCGACTTCACATTAGACGTTATGAATGGCATGAATTCTTCCCTCAAGGTAATCAAGATTAAGAACCTATATATATTATATGCATAACGTTATTAGTAATAATAAGAATTAAAAATGTTACAAATTGTCAATTTTCTTTTCAGCTAACAACAATATTGGCGTTGTGATTACACTATGGGCTCCTATCATTCTTGTATGTTATTTTTATATTATTCATATCCTGTTAACTTCCCTTTGCCTCCAAAACATGCTACATATAATGTTATTTTTTTAAAAATCTTTATAGGTCTATTTTATGGATACTCAAATATGGTATGCCATCTTTTCCACAATATTTGGTGGAATTTATGGTGCATTTCGGCGTCTTGGAGAGGTTAGTGCTCTAATTTGCATTTATCTAAAATTTTACCTACTTCGATTATATATATATTTTTTTGTGTTTTTTTAATTTCTATTCTTTAGATTCGAACTTTAGGGATGTTGAGAAGCCGGTTTCAGTCACTGCCAGTTGCTTTCAATTACTGCTTAATTCCAGAAGAAAATAGCCAAATGATTGAGCATAGGCTCACGGTTACTCCGTCCCATAGAATGACTAAGGTTTAATTTCTTTTATTTTTTTATACCTATTTGGGTGGTTGATGGTTTACAAATAGTTTTTTTTTTTTTTTTTTTTTTTTTTAGTTGTGTTTATTTCAGGAACCAACTAATAAAGAGGAGACAACAAGGTTTGCTCATATGTGGAATAAAATCATTACAACTTTCAGGGAAGAAGATTTGATAAGCAACAGGTATTTTCTGTTGGGAAAACGGTTTCAAATATTTCCAACAACCGTCCAATTGTAAAATAATAGAGAAAATTGAGCACAGATATATACGTGGAAAACTCCAAAACCAGAGAAAAACCACAGGCCTCTACAGAGAAAAAAAAGTCCACTAAATGACAAAGTATATAAATATCTCAAGCCAAACCCCCATTTCGCGCACACTCTCCAAAGATATAATTCACTTTTCTACACTGTAAAGCAAGAGAAGAAAAGAAAAGAATCAATTACTTAACGTTTGTCCCACCCAAAAAGGTGGAAAAAGGAGTCGAGAGATCTTATATGTGCAAAAGACAAAAATGCCCTCCTCATCCTCATCTTGGTCTCTTACTTGTCACTGATATGTGCTTGCATTTTTATTTTATCAGGGAAATGGACCTTTTACTTATGCCATGTTGGGCTGATTTTGACTTGAATCTTATTCGGTGGCCACCATTTTTACTTGCTAGCAAGGTTCATTACTTCCTGAAACATTTTCTTTCATGAACATTGATAATATATATATATATATATATATATATATATATATATATATATATATATATATATATTGACTATTCAACAATCATTTTATAGCTTCCAATAGCCTTGGACATGGCAAAAGACAGCAATGGAAATGACCGATTACTACAAAAGAGGCTGAATGCAGACAATTATATGCTTTGTGCTGTTCAGGAATGCTATGTTTCAACCCAAAATATTTTAAATTTTCTTGTTGAAGGAGAAATTGAAAAGGCGTAAGTAATGTATTTTTTTAATATGATATGATGTATTTGTTAATTGACGTGGTTTGTCTTTTTGCAGAATTATGAAGGAGATTTTTGAAAAAGTTGATCATCACATTAAGGAGGGAGATTTACTAAGTGTGTTTGATATGAGTTACCTGCCTAGCCTCACGAATCATTTCATCCGGCTTATTGAATATCTGGTCAAATATGATCTCTTTGTTTTTTTATGTTTTCTCTTATGAGGTTTTAATATTAAATACTAGTACTTTTATTTTATTTTTTTTTGCTTTTAGAAAGAAAATAAAGCAAGTGACAAGGACGAGATTGTCATTGTGCTACTTAACATGCTGGAGGTGGTAAACATAGACATCTTGGATGAGCCATTATCTAGGTAAATGAAATGGATATAATGTCTCTTCGGATATTGTTGGGCTAAATGCAAGTAATAATAACATACTTTCATTTATTTGTACATTTTAGCATCCAACTTTTATTTATTTCAGTTACAACATTATACTTTCAATTGTTTTCTTATTAACCTATTTCATTTTTTTAAAATCCACCCAATTATAGCATTGTATTCGGACATTACTTTAAAAAACTATCCAGTTATAGCAGTGAAAATTGCTATGTATTGGATGAACATTGCTATTTCTTGCATTAAACTCAATAATAAAGCATTACTAACTAACTTTCTTTTGCTTTTGACATGTAGCATGGTAGAGTCAAGCCATAAGTATTTTGCAGATCTAAATTTTCCTGTTATAGGAGAGATAGAAGCTTGGAAAGAGAAAGTAAAAAGCTTCTACTCTTTATACACTAAATTACAAAAATGCCCCCGTGGTATAATGAACTGAAGTTGTAATCTCCACTAAACCACAGATCAGAAGGCTTCATCTGTTGCTTACAGAAAAAGAATCTGCTATGGATGTTCCATCAAACTTAGAAGCCAGAAGGCGTATCTCTTTCTTCTCAAATTCATTGTTTATGGATATGCCTAAAGCACCCAAAGTTCGAAATATGATATCTTTCTCGTAAGTTTTCTCTCAAAATATGTTGATTTTTCTTTGACTTTGTCTTTACGATAAATTCGCTTTTATTTTAGCGTTTTGACTCCTTATTATAATGAGGATGTTCTTTTCTCTATGGATGCCTTGGAAAAGCCTAATGAAGATGGAGTTTCCATTCTTTTCTACTTGCAGAAAATCTTTCCAGGTAAGTTGTTTTTCTTTCTAAAATTGTATGTTTCATGATACTAAGTTTAGTAAATAATTTTCAGATGAATGGAACAATTTTCTAGAGAGAGTGGAGTATAGCAATGAAGAAGAAATGAAAGGAGATTTAGATTCAGAAGAATTGTTGCGCCTTTGGGCTTCATATAGAGGCCAAACACTTACTAAGACTGGTAATTGAATTTGCATATGTAAAGGATTAGATGCAAGGAATAACAATGTGGTTTCATTGATTTGTTTATTATAGCATCTTTCATTTCTTACTATTACAACATTTTACGTTGAAAAATGTACCTAATTATCCAATTTCATTCAATTTCAAAGCAATGGTTATTGCTATAATTGGGTAAAATTTTCAAAGTATAATGTCCTAATAAGAAAAAAAATAGAAACTATAATGCTGCGATTAGGGTAAATTTTTTAAAGTACAATTTCTTAATAAGAAAAGATTGAAAGTATATTCCTTTGATAGATAGAAATGAAAGAGGAAAACTCTAATGATACTGATGATAAACTTATATCAACCTTTTGTTATCCATTTCAATATTCTGATCATAATTTTATTCTTCTCTTAACTTAATATAGTACGAGGCATGATGTACTATCGACAAGCATTGGAACTTCAAGCTTTCATTGACATGGCAAATGATGATGGTATATACAAGCAATAACAACATACTTTCATTTATTTGATGATTTAGTGCATGCATGCATACATACATACATACATACATACATACATACATACATACATACATACATGCATGCATGCATGCATACATACATACATAACTATTGATGATTGTTGCAGAGTTAATGAAAGGTTACAATCCTGCGGAATCTAACACGGAAGAATATTTAAGGAATGAAAGATCAACACTAGCACAATGTCGAGCAGTTCCAGATATGAAGTTCACATATGTCATCTCATCTCAGCAATATGGAATCCACAAAAGATCAGGCGATGCTCGTGCTCATGACATTTTGAGGCTTATGACAACGTACGACTTGAGCACTTGTATTCAAGAAATATCAACATATTTTTCATTTTTGTTTCTATTAAAACATTCTTCTTTCATATCAAATTGCATTTTGAGAAATCACCCAATTATAGTAATATACTTTCAAACTTTTTCGTATTCAGACATTATACTTGTAAAAATCTACCCAATTATAGCAGTGAAAATTGCTTTAATGTTATAAATGGATAGATTTTTTCAAAGTACAACGATGTGATTGTAAGAAATGAAAGTAGGATATTGTAGTGAATAAATCAATGAAAGTAGGTTGCTATTTCTAGCATGTAACGCATTTTACTTTCATACATGAAATGTAACTCTAATTTTCTAATTAATGTTGGGAAATCTATATGTTTTTGAGGCAGGTATCCTTCTCTTCGAGTTGCCTATATTGATGAGGTGGAAGAAACTAGCATTGATGAATTAGAAAATGTTGTTACCAAAGTTTCTTACTATTCAGTTCTTGTGAAAGCTGTACCAAAGTCTGCTGATGCCTCTCACCAATTTCAGAGCTTAGATCAGGTACAAATTTCAATATTTGTACTGTTGAATCAATCCATTTTGGAATATATTTTTTCACCTATTTGAGCTCATTGTGACAACTGGTAAGAAGGTTGACCAAAGACTCTAGCAACTTCTAAACAACTCATGAGTTTTCAAGGAAACTAGTTGAGACTTGAGACTTCTACTAGCATCATTTTATGGATAAATGCAAGAAATAGCATCATACTTTCATTAATTTATGTATTATAGCATCCTAATTTCATTTCTAGCAATTACTACATTGTATTTGCAAGTTCTTTTATTATTATTAAGACATGTACGTATGAAATTATGAATATCCATGTTGATTTAAAAAATTTGTTCATAGTGCAATGTCTTAATAAGAAAATAGAAGTTGAAAGTATAATCTTGTAATAGAAATAAAAGTATGTTGCTATAATACACAAATAAATAAAAGTATGTCGTATTTCTTATATTTAGCTCAATATTATATTTATAAATCAAACAGGAAGCTAGTCCACAGAAAATTTTCAAATTTGAAAATCTACTATTTGAAACATATGTGTATCATGAAGGTTCATTAATGTAAATATACCATTTTTGATATTCAGGTTATATATCGTATAAAACTTCCAGGAGCAGCCATACTTGGTGAGGGAAAACCAGAGAACCAAAATCATGCCATCATTTTCACACGTGGAGAAGGTCTTCAGACAATAGACATGAACCAGGTATCTGACTTAATACAGAAAGAACAACTTAATACCAAAAGTCCTAAATTTTTTACAGATTTGCCCTTGAATAAAGCTGTTTAATTATTATCTTATGAACAGGACAACTACATGGAAGAAGCCTTTAAAATGAGGAATTTACTTCAGGAATTTCTTGTCAAACATGGAGTGAGAACTCCAACCATACTTGGACTTAGGGAGCATATATTCACTGGAAGGTAAATATGCATTTCTATTTCTTTTGTATCATGTAATGTTTTTAATAATTTATTATATGGGTTACTCTATTTTGTGATTGATGACTTTTTTTTATTTGTTTTGTTTATGATTTAGTGTATCTTCTCTTGCGTGGTTCATGTCAAACCAGGAGACGAGTTTTGTAACAATTGGACAAAGATTATTGGCTAACCCATTGAAGTAAGTTGCAAGATTGATTTTATAGTATCGATGTACAACTTTAATTTGATATGCTTCAAGTTTCATGTGGTTTTCATAATTTATTTTGTGAATTATAGCATCTTACTTTCATTTTTTTATTACATCATTGCACTTTCAAAAAAAAAAAAAAAAATTATTAAAGCATTGTATTTTGAAAAATTTAGCCAATTATAGCGGTGAATAATGCTTTATATTTGTTTGCCATTGCTATAATTAGATAGATTTTTCAAGAGTACAATGTTGTAAATGGAAGAAATAAAAGTATAAAGCTATAAAAAAAACAAATGAATGATAGTTGTTGCTATTTCTCACATTTTACCCTTTCATACATATTTGCAGGGTTAGATTTCACTATGGGCATCCTGATGTATTCGAAAGACTATTTCACTTAACCAGAGGAGGTATCAGCAAAGCTTCAAAAATCATCAATCTAAGTGAAGACATATTTGCAGGCATAATTTTTTTCCCTTTATCTACTTAGTGGTCCCCACATGATTGTTTTAGAATATCACATTTGTGGGTCCTAGTAAAACCACTCCCTTAAAATGTTAGATGGGAAGGGGTGAGAATAGAATCACCCTCTTGTCAGTGGGACCCGTTGGTGGTTTGATTTTTTTTTTCAACAAATGTTTTGTGTTTGACATTTTCCCGAATTGTTGGCAGGTTTCAATTCCACACTACGTGGAGGAAATGTGACTCATCATGAATACATACAAGTTGGTAAAGGAAGAGATGTGGGCCTCAACCAGATCTCTTTATTCGAGGCAAAAATAGCACAAGGAAACGGTGAACAAACAATGAGTCGTGATATATACAGACTTGGACACCGTTTTGATTTTTTTTCGTATGCTCTCATGCTATTTCACCACTATCGGATTCTACTTCAACACATTGGTAATAAATATTTTTCTCAACTATTTTTTAAACATCATTTATTTTCTACTTAATGGGCTTAATATGTTAACAACAAATATACATTTGTTTTTGACTTAATCTTGATAGAATGACTCAATGGGTTATCATATTTTTTAAGACACAACCTTTTACCTATTTACCTTTCTTCTCTACTCCTCTCACTATTGATGAGTATTATTTATACAACATTTTATTTATACAACTACTTTAGGAATACATCTAATACCCATCAATCTTACGTGGCAGCTGACTGTGCTCATTGTATACGTATTTCTCTATGGTCGCCTCTACCTCGTACTAAGTGGACTTGAAAGAGAATTAAACACAAATAAAGCAATTGCAAGAAACAAACCCCTTCACGTAGCTCTCGCATCTCAATCTTTCGTTCAAATCGGATTCCTCATGGCACTCCCAATGATAATGGAAATTGGACTCGAAAGAGGATTCCGAAGTGCATTAACCGATTTCGTCCTCATGCAACTCCAATTAGCTTCGGTTTTCTTCACATTCTCTCTCGGAACAAAAACCCATTACTACGGTCGCACTTTGCTTCACGGCGGCGCACAATACCGCCCCACCGGCCGTGGATTTGTAGTTTTTCATGCAAAATTTTCCGAGAACTACCGGCTATATTCTCGTAGCCACTTTGTAAAAGGAATCGAGCTTTTGATCTTGCTTGTTGTGTATGAGATATTTGGAGAATCGTATACAAGTTCGGTTGCGTATATGTTGATTACAGTTTCGATGTGGTTTATGGTGGGGACATGGCTTTTTGCTCCGTTTCTTTTCAATCCTTCGGGGTTTGAGTGGCAGAAGATTGTTGATGATTGGTCGGATTGGAGTAAGTGGATAAGTAATCGAGGTGGAATCGGTGTTTCCGGGGATAAAAGTTGGGAATCGTGGTGGGAGAAAGAGCAAGATCATCTTGTGTCTTCGGGGGTGAAGGGTATTGTTATAGAGATTTTGTTGGCAGTTCGGTTTTTTATTTATCAGTTTGGACTTGTGTATCATCTCAACATTACAAAGAGCAAAAGTTTTCTGGTATTTTTTTCGTGTTGATGAACTTGCATTTGATTAATTTTTTTTTTTGGATATAAAACGGAATTGAGTTTAATTAAAATTTTTGATGTTCACTTGTTATTTTGCAGGTTTATGGAATTTCGTGGCTTGTAATCTTCGCAGGACTTCTTGTAATGAAGGTGATCTAACTAACATGTAGTATAATAATTTCTAATTATTTAAGTCCATATAAAGTCCATATAGGTACTTTTTGTAATAACATGTTGCCCACACCTAGTAGTCTTATAGAACATATAAGTCCTACCTTGTTCCATTTTTTTGATGGAAGAAAAAATTATACTTTTTGTCCCACTGACATCAATCTCAGTCTTAATATAATGCAAAAACAGTCTGTCCTAATGTACGCCTTTGAGGGACAAATGAAATAGATATCTTGAAACAGATTTTCTTTACACACGTGGTAATTTTTATGTGCTTATTAAATTAATGTATTCTTTTCTATATTTTCCAGGGGATGGCATATTGTAGAAAGTCTCTTAGCAATGACTATCAGCTTGCATTCCGATTGATCAAGGGATTAATCGCTATAAGTTTTTTTTCTATACTAGTTACCATAATAGCACAACCTCATATGTCAATAAAGGATATAATTGTATGCGTCCTCGCCTTAATGCCTACGGGTTGGGGAATGCTTCTGGTGAGCCATCCCTTTAATCCATATTTAACATGTGCTATTTTTTTAATGGAAAAAAAATTGTAGATAACTGGTTTTAATTAACATTGGTTTTGTTGTGTAGATTGCACAAGCTTTGAAGCCATTTTTGAAACAAACTGGATTCTGGTCATCTGTTAGAACGTTAGCACAATATTATGAGATAATAATGGGTTTGCTTTTATTCACGCCAGTTGCATTTTTGGCTTGGTTCCCATTCGTGTCTGAATTTCAGACACGAATGTTGTTCAACCAAGCATTTAGCAGAGGTTTACAAATCTCCCGTATTCTTGGTGGTGGCCAAAAGAAAAACCGATCATCCCGCATCAAGGAGTGACTTTTTGTCCTTTAGCATAACTATTTCCATTCGTATGTATATATGCATAAATTTATGTATGTATGTTATCACAAGCATGGGATCAACATACATCTATACAAACTAGTAATGTGAATTGATTATTTGTGTAGAAGATGTATCACCATTAGGTAGTAAGATGTATAGTTTTATTTACTTTTTCTAGGTGTGTTGTGTGATCATTGACTACTATTTATTCATATTAAGGGTAGTGGAAGTCATTTTGCATCATATGTTTGAATGTTTTTAAAAATTGGTCCAAAAAGCTCAAGCAAATTCTTTGGGTTGCATTTAAACATTCCTTATAAGGGTGTAGATGTCTCAGATCCCATCAGAACTCCACAGTTAAACAGACTTAGAGGAAAACAATACTAAAATGGGAACATGGGACACTCTAGATATTACATATGACTCATGATATGAAGTCTAGGACATTGGTCAAAGTGTTTGTGGAACTAAAAGTCTTCATAACAACTTGCAACAAAAGGTCAAATTACAAACTAGAGAAGCTAAAATGCAATCCGAGTTTAACTTTTAATTGCATTACAGATGGGAATAAAATGAAACGTTATTTATTTTGAGAAAATCAAACCGAAAAGACCAAAAACCCACGACACAAGGGATCCTACGACCCAAAGTAGGAGGGCAAAAACGACAATCCCAGCCAAAATAGTAAGAAAAGGAGGTCCTTGGGCACTTCCAGTGTCACTACTTGTAATTGCTTCTGTCTTCCCAATAGGTTCTTCTGAAGACTTGTTTGATGCATGTAGCAAAGGCAACTTTCTTTTTGTCATCAATTTTGCACCATTCTTGAACCTGTGGCCAAGTGTAAATGAAATAATTTGTCTGAATAAATAATGTTTAAAAAAGAAACATTCGTATATAGCTTAATGAATTAAGTATCTTCTAATTTAAGTCCATTAAGTCAAAAAGATACAACACCTTAGTTTATCTCTACTATCTGCATTTAATTTAATATTAAAGAATTTAATTTGGGTTGAATGCAAGAATTAACAACGTGCTTTTGGTGATTTGTTTATTATAGCATCTTGCATTAATTTTTTTTCCAATTTCAACACTGTATTTTGAAAAATCTACCCATCAATGTCTTTCAAATTTGTTACAATTTTCACTGCTATAACTGGAAAGATTTTTTAAAGTATAATGTCCTAATAAAAAAATTGAAAGTACAATGCTATAATTGGGTAGATTTCTCAATGCACAAAGCCTTAATCAGAATAAAATAACTTTTATATACAATGCTATAACAGAAAGAAATAAAAGTAGGATGCTATAATACACAAATAAATGAAACTACATTGTTATTTCTTATATAATGAGACTTTGTCAAACATAAAACATCATCAAAAGTGATGATTACAACTTCAAGCAAGCATATTTTTGATAACTTGCTTCTACTTATGATTACATAAACGGGTTTCTTACTAACATAGTAACATCAATAAAACTCATTACTAAAGAGTAGAGTAAAATTACTTATATACCCTTACTTACATTTAATTTATAGATTACTTATATAATTAGAATTCATTTAGCATTCAACATCTTGAAAAGTGATATCACAACTTCAAGAAAAAGCATACCCAAACACTATTTCAAGGGGGGCAATAGAAAGAAATGATAAATGGAAGTGCAATGCGTTTTTTCTTTCATTTTTAGCCTATCAAATTCAATAGGTAGTATTTGGAAGCATGAACTTGAGATTTGAAACTTGAAATGACGCCCAAATAGTTCAATTCGCCATATGATTTCCCACTTGCACCATTACTAATTCAAGATTCATAGAACAGGATTTGGCAGGATCGATTATGATGTTAGCAAGGGAAGCTCTAATTCTAATTTTAAAGCTGGAAAATACTCCCAAATCCTACCTAGAATTTCAACATTGCAAATCCCACGAAAATACGAAGAAATGATGTGTATTGTTAGCATTGAGGAACTTATCGAAACACAATTAGGGCATTTAAAACGAAGTTAATTTGCAAATGAAGTTAAAAAGAGAGCAGCATCGATGAGTTAATGATGGAATCGAAAAGGATAATAGGGATTGTAAAGAACCTGAAAATTGAAGATAAGTGGAGATTCCGTGAGGAAGAATCAGCTGGGGAGCAGGGAATTTGATGAAACCCTAGTTTGATAGAACGAGTAGGACGTGCATTGCAGGAGAGGAAAACTGATGCCATTCTTTTTCTGTATCTGTCTTCCCCAAAATCCAAATAAGACCAGATTCATAACAACCACAACTTGGGAAATGAGAACTGAGAAGCACTTTGTCAGTTTGTCATAATATCGGTTTGTTTTTATTCAAAATTTCTTACCAAAGTCACTTAAGATCCATTTTTTAAAACCTGGGTCGACCTGGCCGGTTCAACCGGTTGTACCGTGACCCGCGGTAGAAGGCTGGTCAATTGAGAACAGTATTTTGTAAAAATACAGACCGGATCGAACCGGTCGGGTTTCTCCTAAACCGCAGTCGAACCGTTTGTGTTGAACCAGTTAAAACTGGATTGACCCGTTTTAATAGGGCTTCGATACAAATACGGACCGGATCGAACCGTTTTTGTCAAACCGGCTTCTCAATCACAAGGTGACCATGTTGATCATGAAGTTGATAGTGAATTTCAATTACTAAGTGACCGCGAGATCGATGCTTATAATACTCCAATTTCTCAAGATCCATGATTTGGTTTGGTCGTGACGCATTTGGATCCATCTAAAACTATGTTTTGTTTTGTTATTTATACTCTATGTTGTTGTTTATTGTGTTTAGATTGATCTATAACATGTGTTGATACGTTTTTCAATGTTTAAACTTTGTGGACATCAAATTATTTGTTTTATATGTCTATGCATTATGTAGGAAAGTAAAAATATATGGAAAAAAAAAACATAAACCGGGTTGACCCGGCGGTTCAACCGGTTGAACCGGTTGACCCGTGAACTGGTCATCACACCGGATCAACTAAAAACCCGAGTTTTAAAACGTTGCTTAAGATCTCATAATATTAAATTAGACCATAAAATCTCAAGTTTGGTTTGTTTTGGCCCTTACGACCTTCCGAAGTCGGTTCCATTACATACGTCGCTAAGGGGGTCTCATTTATATATGTAACATATGTAGTGCACAATTTATCCCACCACACTCGTCTTCAATAAAGGTGATTGATTTCTCCCACATCCCCCATGGCTTCCTCCTTAAATACACATAACTCAAACTCAAGATCGATCAAATCCAAGTTAAAATCAAAACTTGATGTTGCAAATCCATGTGATTGTGGCTATCCCTTTCGAATTTGGATATCACAGGCCAAAGAAAATCCTAGAAATTTTTTTAGGGTTGTCATAGTTCATTGGTATGTGGGTTTTAATCTTTATCTAATAAGATTTTCTTCATTGATTTGTATTGTTTGTTTTAGAGTAATCCAAGGGTTAAATGCAAATTTTGGCAATGGGTTGATGATGAAGAAACAGTCAACGAAAAGAATGAATATGAAATGGTAGCACAATCCTGTGAAGTAAGGATTGTCATTTTGGAATGTGAATTCGATATGTACCAGGACAAGACAAATTAAGAACGGAATAAGATAAGTAGGAAAGTATGTAGTCTAAAATGTTATGTGATTGTCCTATTTATGTTGTTTGTAGTGTTACTTCTAGCGTTGAGAGCCTTGCTTGCATGCTTGTATGTTTAATATTGTATATGGTATTTTGGAGAACTCACTAAGCTTTGGCTTATAGTTGTGGATTAAATGTTTTAGGTACTTCAGATAATCATGGCAAGGTGAAGGTTACATTAAGGTTACATAAGTGTAATCCATGAACATCAGAGGCAATGCTTTGGTTAGGATATTAGATGTATAACTTGGGATTTATTTCCATTAAATGTAGATAGACATCACCACTTAATGACTTGATCTCATCCATCACTCTGTTGAAAGCAACTTTATTTGAACACTTTGTAACCATCTAAAGCAAATTCTTGAAAACCATTTCTTGAAACTCCTTCTGGAAATTAGCATAGATGTATCGGGCACATTGCCCATGTTTAGCCATGAGCATTAACTCTTTAATAGCTTCCATAAGTCCCTACAAGAAACACAATGTGACAACCTGAAACTTCTAACTTATAAGATCAGCTAATGTTATCAATATTAAACTCGATTTTATCATCATTTAACACCGTTTAAGGGTGTAATGATACTTTCTAAGCCTCGTATAATCAAAGGTTGAGTTCTAGGTCGAGTAATACCAAGTCGTAGTACAACATTCGGGCCATACACCCTCTCGGGAGGAGTGTACGGCCGTACACATGGGTGTGCGGCCGCACACCCACCCTCCAACCGTACACCATCCTCTATATAAAGGAGGAGACCCCTTCACTCATTCCTTTCCTTTGGCTGCACTCTACTTTCTCTCACTACTTTCTCTCTCTAAAAACTTCATCCAAGAATACTCTAAAGGCCTCAAAAACGTGAACTACTTCATCATTCAGCTTGTTATATTGGTAAGACACCTGAATCTAAGCCTAAAACTCATAGTGTTCTTCGTGTTCTTCATCCTTTGAAGGTGTACGGCCGCACACCTTCATAAGGTGGCTGTACACACCTTAAAGACTCTCCAAAGTGAAGAGTTTGGCCTCCATTTGCTAGTTGGACTTGGTATTAGCACTAGAACACCTCAAAATCGATATTTCGGGCACAAATGAGGAGTGTACGATCGCACACTCCTGTGTACGGCCGCACACACCCTCTGTACGGCCGCACACTCCTGTGTGCAACCGCACACACACCTTGGCCGCACACCCTGGCCGCACACTAACTCAAATGGCCATATACTTTCCCTGTTCAACCATTTATGGCTCCAACACTTAGTTCCAAGCATTTCCAAGTCTTTAGGGTGGTTTCCCGTCATGTTTTGTCATGGAATACCATAATCTAATACATATATGTGTTACTATATGTAATAGGATCCACTTGCGTACGAAACATCGGTTGACACTCAACACTCGTAACCAATTTTGCTTTCGGGTCCTACGATAAACTGTGAGTTCATACCCCTACGCTTTTCCGAGTTTTTCATGTTTTCAGGGGGGGGGGAATACAAGCAAAAACACGAGGAAACTCGTGTTCAAAGTAACTTACATTGTATAAGTTAAATTACATGCTCAGTATGCTTTTAACACGGAAAACAGTATTTACCAATCGATTAAGAAATCAACTCGTAGAAAACACTTTTCAAAACCAGGGTAATTAATTTGTGAATCTTACAGTAAAATGTATTATTTTAAGGGATTCATGCAAATCATAAACAGGATTTCCAGTATTATTACTTGTAAATTTGTTATTTTAAGTTGGAGACACGTCCTTGGTAACACTCCACCGGATTCGAGAGTGTAGGACTAACCCTTGTAACCAGAATCTCTTGGAGGGAGAGCGTGACTATTGTGTATAGATCTATACGGGACTGACTATACCGCTCCTCGCTGCTAGCTACAGTGGGACCGACAGGTCTACGGGTGACAAAGTCATAAAGGATACTGGCCCCCATACGTGCCGTATCAAGTTAATGTATGGTTATAAAACTCGCAACCTAGATAACAGAGATTTACTTTTGTAATAATGAAACAAGTGAACTAACCTCAAAGTAATAACCGATTGATTACTAGAGGGTATTAATAATACCCTTAGGATCTAGTTCACTACCTATTTATTAGTTTTATTTATGTAATACGGCTAATACATCTCTCAGAGAACAAACAGGGTTTTTCAAGGAAACTACATCTAACGATACAAGTATGGTAGATACTTGTACACCTCATACTCGAATAGATAACCAACTATCAACTCATAAGGAAAAAAAATAGGATTTTCCTGGGATAACTCAACCTTACATAAACAGGCTGTTAAACAAGTAACGAATGGATAATCAAACATCTTTCATAAGAAAATATAGGATTTTCTTGGGAAACACTTTTCAAAGGATCAAAGAAACATTTCTTTCACCAGAACTAAACGCTTATGAACTCACCAGCTTTATGCTGATATTTTAAAACTGCTTGTATTCTCAGGGCAACAATAGACAGGTACTCTTGCCAAGCTTTTGGAGAAGACGAAGCATTTTGGAGTCACGTCTTTTACTTTTGTTATATAATGTTATGTACAAACCATATTTTCAAACAAATGTAAATATTCATATTACAATGTAATGGTTGTGTTTACTTTGATTACTATGATACGATTGTTGTGATACTACGCATGACGTCCTCCGCCCCAAAACGTTTCCGTCGTTCCGGTTTTGGGGTGTGACAGATTGGTATCAGAGCTCTTGTTTATAGTGAACTAAGTATACCGAACCTTACATGGTATACAACTATAAACACTAAAGGGGCTAAAGTGCTCTGAACTAAAAGTATACTTTTAAAATACAAGTATTTTTGCGAAAAGTATACAAGTATACCTACATACCAGAAACAGTCTCATGAGTAGAACAAAACAAAAGTATTTGGATGTTGAACACTGCGGTTAAACCTGGGCAGTTATGTAATCATGTCTAGGGTCAATATAGCCTGATCAACTATATTTATTCGAGACATGACCAACATGTGCTTGGGAGTGACTTTGGTGTTGCAGCAGGCCTAAAACTTACCTAGTATCCATACAACAAGGTATCAAAAGAACAAAACATACAACTTAAAATACTGTAGGAGTATTTTAGCCAGAGCCGAATACATTGTAGAAATTCATTCCTAGTGTTGCTACTCATTCCTTTTAGCGATAACTTATTTGCATTGGTAGCTTTTCCTTGTTTATCGCTTAGTAGAACACTCTAGCCATCATATTGAGATGCATCTTACTTTATATCTCTTGATTCGATTCCAGAGGACTTACCACCCTCTTCTTCCTAATCATTTTAGAACAAGATGCCTCCAAAGAAAAGACCCAACAAAAAGAACAATGATCCCCCAACAAACCCAGCTCCTCCACCTCCTCAATTCGATCCCGCTATGTTTCAGGCAGCTGTTACTGCTGTTGTGGCTGCCACGATGTCACAGATAAATCCTGGTGGATCTGGTGGACCGGGAGGTGGTACTCATCCTGAAGGGAGTAAAGGGCACCAGAAGGAGTGCTCCTATAAAGACTTCATGAATGCAAAACCCACATCCTTCGACGGCACTAGAGGTGTTATTGCCCTGACTCGATGGTTCGAAAAGATCGAGTCCATCTTCGAAATCTGCTCTTGTTCTGAAGCTAACAAGGTGAAATTCGCCGCTTGTACTTT